GTCACCTTGCTCCTCTTCAGGGGGGAATTGAATAAATTCCGTCCAACATCCGTCTGATCCAGAAAAAATATCAATTGCGTATTGCACAAAAATTTCACTGTGCTCAACTGACGTACACATACGAGAAACAAGGCAATGCTTATGAAAAATTCTTAGAACATGAGAGAAGCAGAATACAGTTTCAGTTGAAACATGCCATCTTTTAAGACAGCAGTGATCAATGTGATTAAAGTCAAGAGGGCACACATCGAAAACAAATCGGAACCGCTAAAATCCTGCCGCCTTATATGGGCATGGTTTGTTATTGCCTCTTATCTTCTGAAGCCTGGAGTTGCTGTCGACGTACGTATGTATCTGGTTTTCATAAGTCAAACGTACAACCCCACTACCACAAACTTAGCCCTATATTGTTGCAATTTCTGGTATAAAACCGACATCAAAAGGGTCATAATACCTAGATTCTTACTTTCGAAAGAATGAATGACCAAACTACCGCGCTTTACTACCAGAAAACACGTACACAGTTTGGACGTTTTGATAAGACGCTGGCGTAGTCCGTCTTATGCCTCAAGTATTGTCCTGGTCACCTGGTACATTTGAGCTCCGCCGGACAAAGGCCCCGTTGCGCACACAATCACACAGGATTGAATAATCTATGTGAGGTAGCAACTCGGAAGTGTCCATTAAATCGTTACCGACACACGACTGATATGAGTCGGTGATACGCAGGCTATTCGGTTTGAGTAAAATGATGGAAGTGCCATGAAACAACTGTGTGGGGATTCACCTATTCCTAACTCCTGAGGTATTAATATTACTCGGTTCCTGATTGACCTTCACTTGATGAGCAGAACTAATTTTAGACCACCTCGGTGAGACTGGGGTTCCGATGATCAATAGGGAGATGATTCTACAGCATTGTCAAGAACCATAGGAATTCTAACGGCGAGGTGGTCATCGCGTATCGATGTAAACGAATTCCTGAGTGTTGATCAACTTACGGTAACGGATAACTTAGTTGTTACTAATAAGCAGGATTTTCCCGTTCAATTTCTCTAAGTTGGTAATTTTTTCATTCGCCTACACAAGCAGAGCTGTTAGATCGTTCAAATCATAATTTTCAGGTCATTTTCACTGGAATGTGGGATCCACCTTGAAAATATTTATCGTGTATGAACAGCCACTATCGTTTCTGTACTTACTGTCAACTCGGATTTGATTGGATATTTCACCACGGAGTGAATTGATTTAAAAGTCATCACAGAGGCGAACTGTTCACGGACATGAATTCTTCACTGGTGACCAAACTATCGATCAGCCGAGGCAAACTTGCTGAGAATAGATAGATAAATCGATACTGTGTCTGGTTAGTTCTTGGCCAGGAATACAGCGGAAAGTTCGACCGCAGAGGTCCGCTCAAACCAGTGCCATCCATC